ATAACTTTGTTACTGTACTTAAGTACATGTTTCTGGTATCAGTACTTTACTCCACTACTTATTTTTCAGACTTTTTACTTTGACTTCTTAAATATAAAAAAAATCCCTGTACTTTCTACTTCTTACATGTTGAACCCAAATACCTGTACTTTCTACTTCTCTCATTTTCCAAACAGGCTGGTTCCTTTAGTCTGAATGTGTGTTTGGTGGCGTGATCATTATTATTTAGAGTCATTGCGTGCCTATTGATTTGAACACGATCCGTGTATCCATCATTTCCTGGTCTTCTCTAAAGAAGAGGGACCAATGAAAACGTTGTCATGTTGCCGTTGGTCACCATGGAAACATTCATTAGCTAACAATGACATTATTGTTCTATTAATATAAAGGGAGGTCAGGTACTCTTTAAAACAGCTGCTAGTTATGGGTACTTTTTACTGAAGTACATTTCAAAGCCTCTTTACTTTGACTTGAGTAAAGAAGTTTAGTCAGTACTTCTACTTTTACCAGAGTATTTTTAAACACGAGTATCTGTACTTCTACTTGAGGAAAGGATGTGTGTACTTTTGCCATGTCTGCTGGGAATCGTAGGGTCGCCGGTTCAAGTCCCCAAACAGACTTTAAATATGGAGTGTGGAGTAGTATTTGAAGAGGTCCATACCCAGCACTAGGATGGGTTCAGCGCAGAAGTCTAATGTCACTGTGTCCTGTAATGTGTGAAGGTTTCATCCTCTGATTCTAATTCATAGATCCTTAATTGGGAAGTGATTGTGTTAAGGAGCAGCGGGATTGTTTACACATCAGCTTATTGAAAAGATATTCTACAAAACTTTATCAGTGGCGCCTTTAGTTTCTAATGATCTTATGAAACCAAAAAGTTTAGAAAACAGTTTCAACATAGAGAAGGAGAATAAGGATAACACTGTTAGGGATAGGATAGGGGTCTTATACTGTGAACTGTGAAGTACAACTAATACAGTATTATATAATTGGAGGATGCAACCCTCTTTAATCGTCACACACACAGCACACAGTGACATTTGACCTCTGCTTTATTATTATATTATATTATATTAGGGTTTATAGATATATTTGTAGATGACTATGAGTTTCTGTATGACTTTAAAGTTGTATTTCCCCCCCAGGACGAGGCGATCTCCGTCAGAGAGCTCAAGGAGATGCTCGACGGCGTTCTCAGCAGAAGTAAGTGAACACAAAAATATATTTGGAGCTTTTTGTTAATTATCTCATCATTCGTCTCTCTTTCTGGTTTGAGTTTTGTCAGACAATGTGGCTTCATGAAAGGGATGGCAAACTATTTGTGTATACTGTATATATACTGTATATATATATGTATGTACCGCATTCTCTTAACATTTGATTGCATGTTGTATCATTAACGGTTTGGATGCATTGTGTTTTCAGGAAAAGAGATCAAGTTTGACGGCCTGAGTCTCAGCACCTGCCACAGCATCATCAACCTGATGGACGTATCCTTACACCACTTTAACTTTAACGTCAGACTACATTCATCCTGTCAAATCATGTGTTTGTGATGTTGGAGATTAGAAAGAGAATGAAAGGAGTCGTTTATTAGGAACCCAGGTCATGAACAGCATGACATGCTTTTCACTTGTTCTGTTTACAAAGGATTAAAAAAAGTTGTTCAAATAATAATAATCTGTCAATTAAAGACAGGGATTTGTCAGGGATAATAAACAAATACACTTGAAGAAAGGGAATACAAAAATAATAATAATAGAAAAAAAACACATTCCTTAAGATAATCAGGTAATGTCAAAGTAAAATATATAAATCTTTGGGGCGGTGGGAGTAGTGAAAACATTAGCTAATAATTATTTAGGTAAAGTCCGATCTAACTGTAGATATAATAATAATAATTAATTCCATTTTTTGTTAGAGCGCTTTTTCACGTGCTCAAAGCGCTTAGATATGTCTTCAACCAATGAAGCCCAACAACTCTTAAAGGTCCCCTATTATCCTGTTTCTCATCAGTATATCCCAGGTCTCAGATATATACAGAGCCTGTCTCTGATTGGCTGAAACACCAAACAGATCATTGCAGCATTACCCATAATCCCCTCTGTTTCAGGAGATTTGGTTACAAAGAACTCAATGGTGCTCTAGGAGGAGATTCAGGTGATAAGGGGGGGGGTGTACCTTGGTTGGTGATTGGCTAATGGTTACACANNTTTTAGGTAGTACATTTACACGGTGTAAATCGTATCTCCGAATAAAAGTAGACTTGCAGGGAACCGTCCAACTACCGGTAATTTTGATTTTGTACGTTCTCGTCTCTTTTTTTCGTGTAATGGTTATTGACTGGAATTCATTTGTGTAAACTCCATCAATTAACATTATGATGATGATGATGAAAAAATAAAACATTGTAAGTGACCGTCTAAATAAATGACTGTTAAATCATTGAATGTCTAATTCATTAAATTGAGTTAGCTGAATTATGAAAAATGAATTCATTACTAACAACCTACGTACACCGAAAACGAGTTCATTTCTTAGACTTATGAAAAGGGGTGGTGTCCGAGTTTGTCGACGACTTCATTCGATGTAAATCGATATCCTGATAACCTAAATAAAGGAAATCGTGTACACCGATGACCTAATTTCTAGAAATTGAAACGTGTGGAAAAATACGTGTAAAAGTTACACAAATGTAGCGATCTTTAACCTACATTTGGTAATTCGATGTGTAGTAATACAAAACCGATGTAACCAAACTATACAAAATTGACCTCTTTGACTAGTAAACACCGTCTATATGTACGCCCCAATTTCTTTTATCGTGGTAATTGTTGCACCAGAAGACTTTTAGGCATGTTAATTCATGTGCATATTCCCTTCTTAAAGATCCCCTATCATACTGTTTTTCATCAATATATTAGAGGTCTCAGATGTATACAAATATGCCTCTGGAGTGTTTGGCTCCAAACACCAAACAGATCATTGCAGCATCCCATAATCCCCTCTGTTTCAGCCCTGTTTCAGTGCTGATTCTCTGTCTGTTACTTTAGATGAAAATACGGAGCCCCTCCCCACGCCCCTCTGAGAGAGATTTGGTTACAAAGAACTCAATGGTGCTCTAGGTCGAGATTCAGGTGATAAGGTGGGGGGGGGGTTACCTTGGTTGGTGATTGGCTAATGGTTACACAAGACAACACATCGTTATGACATCATAAAGTGGCCAAAATCTGATCAGCTCATTTTCAGACAGGTTTTTATAGAAATGGATCAAAAAGAGAGAGAATCTTTGTTCCTGAAACTTTCAGAGTCTCTTTCCACAGAGGGGACACATGTTGATGTAGAAGAGACATGAAGAAGAGGGGACACATGTTGATGTAGAAGAGACATGAAGAAGAGGGGACACATGTTGATGTAGAAGAGACATGAAGAAGAGGGGACACATGTTGATGTAGAAGAGACATGGAGAAGAGGGGACACGTGTTGATGTAGAAGAGAAGTGGATTTTGCATAATAGATGACCTTTAATCTTGTCATGTTCAAGTCTCACAATAGATCTCAGTTTCTCTATTACATAAATATAATAACATCAAAACAGTCCTCAACCTGAGGTGCATCTGTCGTCAACCATTTCCTAGTCCGTGCTTTTTGACTTGCTATAAATAAGATATTGAACGTGTATTTGTTGGTCTCAGTTCCAGGTGTCTCAAAGTTAAATGGAATCATTACTTTAAGTATATTTTCCATAGCAGACTTGACTTGTTTCCAGGAGTTAGAAAGGAGTGTTTTAAATGTTGAACTGATGGATGATTATGAGCACAAAGTGTTTCCTTGACAGAGATCAGGTGGATAACACCGGGCAGCTGGAGTTCCAGGAGTTCAAGGTCTTCTGGGAGAAGATGAAGAAGTGGATTGTGAGTGTTTGTGATTCTTGGCTTTAAAACTATGAATAAGAGGAGGAAGAAATAATTAGATAAATTAACGTAAAAGTCATAATACTACAGTTTAATAAAACCCCAAAATATAGGTTAATGTCCTGCATTAAAAATGGTTATTTAAAGGTCCCCTATTGTCCTCTTTTAAAACAATATACACAAACTGTCTCTGAAGTGTTTGACTCGAAACACCAAACAGATCATTAATTTGGAAATGAAAGGAGTATTATGTATAAATAATATATTTTATATATTTATATATATATACACAGGTCATTTTTCACATATAACTTTACATACTGCTGGGTAATAATATCTTATCATACTTGATATATTTTTTGTAATAATAATACAAGTGTGCAAAATTAATTGTGATGTCGAATAAATGTAAAATAAATATAAAGTAGCAGAACATTTAAAGTGGACCTATCATGCTATATTTTAATAATATATTGTAGGGCCATACCTATATAAGGGATATTTATACTTTTTATTTTTCAAAATACTAAACAGATCATGCATTTTAGCCATTCCTCATTTCGCTCAATTTAACACTGTCTTTGCATGGGCTGATTATGTGAGAACAGCACCACCTACAGGCCTGGCATATGTACTACAGCGTCTCCAGCGCTTTCCAACGGCAATGTCCGTGGCTATCTCCTCCTGATTGGTGGAGTTGGCTCAATAGCCGTAGCGCCACTTCTGTGACATCATAGAAGTGTTCAAATCTGGATCAGTCTGTATCAGATCCGTTGCAGCCCCTTTTTTAGAGATTTGGGTATGGAGGAAAATAGAGAGGGTTGTGTTTTCTGACACTTGGTGATTTCCCTGGAACACCGGGGACAGTGCATTTTGCATGATAGGTCACCTTTAAGTAAATTAAAGTACGAAGCAAATGTATTACTATTATTTTAATGTTACTTTCTATTTATTTATTGCTGTAATTTTGTGCTGGAAGAGGAAAGAGATCAAAATAAACACAATAATATAAACGTTCTGTCGTTGCAGATGCTCTTCCTCTCCTTCGACACCGACCGCTCCGGGAAGATGTCGTCCTACGAGCTGCGCATCGCTCTCAAAGCTGCAGGTGAGAGCATTTTACATTTGGTGCAAAACTATTAATTTAACGTTTCTGACCATTATTTCAATATAATCATTACATTTGAAATTTGAAATTAATATCTTTTGGCATTTATATTCTTATTAGACCATTTTCATGTTGTACGGGAAAGGAAAACATATTAACATTAACATATTTTAAATGTATTTGTATTATTTATATTATAATATTCATATACAATAATTATTATTATGTTTATTATGATTATGATTATTACTGGAGATGTCACAATGCAAAATATAAGAATCATTTGACATATTTTGCATATTTTCATGTTCTGTAATGTTACAATAGTTTTTAAAATATATTAGATCATATTCTGTCACCATATGTTTTATTTAATTAATTTAAAGGGATTAACATGTGCAGTAAAATGTCCTTATACTATCAGTTAAAATAAAGTATAGTAGAGGTATTTGTTGGTTAATTATTTGGTGTGTTTGTGAATATGTTGTGATGTTTTGTGTTTGTTGTCCTGCAGGCATGCAGCTGAACAACAAGCTGCTGCAGCTCGTCGGTTTGAGGTTCGCTGACGAAAACTACGACATCGACTTCGACGACTACCTGACCTGCATCGTGCGTCTGGAGAACATGTTCAGTACGTTGAATACTATCTTACGCTGGGTTTAAAGGGAGTAATGCCTCAACAAATAAGAAGCAGAAACACTTTATGCAATTACATTTTGTTACAATCGCTCCTTTTTTAATTGATTTAAATTAAAATGAATATTCAAATAAATTATCAATTAAAAATAACATTAAATACAAATAAAAAAAAATTCAAATCTAAATAAAATGATAAAAAAGTAAAACAATTAAATATCAAATATAAATAATTTGTTTTAATATATATATAAATATGTATATATAAAAAGTAGTGAAACAAAAAATGTGCTTCTAAACATATTAAAATAAACAAATACAATAGTGTCATAATATTAATAATTATACTAATGCTGCATGGTTTGGCGAATGGTTCATTATAATTAACATTATATGGTGTTGAACTTAATGTTTTGAATGCATTTAGGCTCTCAATGTTGCTTTTAACCAAAATACTTGTTTTTAATATATATTCATAAACAGTTAAACTCAAATGAGCATGTTTAGTACACATTAAGAAGAATACAACCCTCCACTAGGTAACATCACTATTGCCTTTAACTCATCAAAGTGCAGATTTATTCATGTTAAAATCTACTTTTGCTCTTCCCCTTCTGCAGGAGTGTTCCAGGCTATGGACCAAAGGAAGAGCGGCCGGGTGAAGATGAACATCATGCAGGTAAACAACAACAAACATCAGAATAGCTTTGTTGTTTATCAAACAAACAAACAAACAAACAAACGTATAAGGACATTTCGTTGGCCTCTCTCACTGCAGGAATACAGTCAGAATCAGAATTCCTTCATTCGTCCCTCAGAGGGCGAACAACTGTTACAGCAAAGAGCCAACATAGCTGAATATCTCTCAAAGAGCATAAGACATATTAAAGATATGTTAATTTAAAACCGCCCACTTCCTGACCGTGTTCATTTAACACTTAAAGAGTCAGTGAACACTTTATGGTCCTTATCTCAGAGTGTTAAATGAACACTCCAGATGTTACTGTGTATCTTGAGATTGACAATAAAGTTGACTTGACTTGATATTTAGATTTTTTGTTTGTAACATGGGATCTGATTGTAATTTGTTTTTATTGTCCTCCCAGTTCCTGATGTTGTCGATGAACGTCTGAGGAGGAAACGGAAGCCGCCACAAGAACAAAGTGTGTGTTGAATATTCTCTGTAACGGTGCATCTTTCTCTTTCTGTTTTTTAATGTGAGAATCCGTCTGCAGGGCTGGAACTTTGGGATCAAAATGTTAACCTTTGCCGAGTCATACTTTTGGATTGAAAACATGTTTTATTTTCTCTCTGCTCTCGGCGTGAATGGAAATAAATGTTGAATAAAATGCAAGGCTTGAATGTGCAAATATGCTACTGAGTTGGATCATGATTTATTGTCTAAGGACTAAATACAAATTGAGTTCCACAGAAAGTGTGAGCAATGAAACCTTCTGTTCATTTATGACCCTCCATTTGTTTTATTTACAAGAGCTTAACAAGAAAAACATTTCATATTTTATAAAACTTGCCAGTAATTTTCTTATCAGACCATTTGAATGGTTTTATTGCAGAGGACGTGTCTTGTTCATATGGAGTTGTGATGTATTGATCATATAACGTATTGTATATACTGTGGATTTCACGTTACAAAATATTACATAAGACAACATTTTTAACTCAAAATCGACCTTCCAGATGTTTACAGTTATTCTCAGTTGATGGATCTGTCTTGGACCCCTTAAGGAAACTCCGACCCTCCATTAGTTTTATTTACAAGAGCTGAACAACCACACATTTCCAAAAGTGTAATATATTGTACATTTACTTTAAGCGGTCCCAAACGATTTGCACGGAAGCAACAAGTACTTTAAAGAACTTTAAGTTGTACACACTTTGAATAAAGTACAAATACCTCCAAATCAGTGGCGGTTCTAGAGCAATTTGACTGGGGGGGCCACTGGGGGGCCAGTTATTTTCTGAGGGGTGCACAATCAATGCAGGACGAAAAAGAGAACTAGACAGTATGAAGTAATTGCGCATAAGAAAACAATGCAATGCAGTTATTGGTATTTGTTTCAGTACGCTCATTAATTTCAGATATATCTTATAGTTATTACTGATAGCTTCAGCTTAAGTTATAGTACAATTTTTGCACTAACACCATATCATATTTATATAAAAATAAAGGCAATGAACAGTTACATCTCTACTTTACATCTACAATTACGCGGACACAATAGTTGAACTCACCTTCAATTATCGTGGTAGTCTCTCGAAACGTAGGTTTCAATCAGTCTTTCTTGGATGCAACAGCCTCTGATGATCCGAGATGAAAAGTGTTTGTTTTTCGCGCGCTTCAGCCGGACAGTGAAAGTGAGTGCACCGCTCTAATGGGTCCTGAGTGCACCGCTCTAATGGGTCTGACTAGAATGACGAATAACGTTAGTTCCGCCTATTCCGTCATTCAATAAATCGTGTAATAAATCATAAATTTTTCATTTTTTTCACTTTTTTCACTTTGAATTTTGGCCCCCCTGGCCCCCCCTAGAACGACCCCTGCTCCAAATGATGCTTAATCAAGAACTTACAATTGGAGTTTAATCAAAACACATTGAAGCGTTTAGATTCAAGATCCACAGACTTATTTTCACGTCATAAACACAACTACAGTGTAATGCAATGGATGAAAACTTAGGTCACAGGTTCCTCAAAGGAGTGATTACAAGACATAGACTTTTATAAAAATGAAATAAAATAGAAAAGGACAAAGTTAAAAGCAAACCGAAATGTAAACAAACACTGAAAAAAATGCAGAGTTGGAAAGGAGCCAAAGTTCACGTGAAGTTCATGTTCTCTGTAAATACTTGGAGGTGTTGCGGTACGACACACTGCAGGCCTTTTCTTAGAATACACGTCACAGTAGGAACATGTATTATTAATGTCTGAGTAAAGTTCAATTGTTAAGATTATGAATCTACTACTGAGAAACGTATTCTCCGTCCAACATTCACTCGGGTGTTTTCACCTCACTCTAACATCAGGTTGTGAAATGTTTCCTGTTCTTCCAGTTTAATCGACATAGTGACTGTCTCTTGGTTGCACCTTTACTCAAGTACTTTACTATTGGGGTTGTCCTAGTGTCAGAGGTGGAAGAAGTACTCAGATCTTG